CACACACACACACACACACACACACACACACACATCAAACCTCTGATTTGCCTCAATTTTTTTCTTTTAACATCTGTCACTGCTCAGAAAGGCAAAAATCTTTGTCTTGTTCCTCACTTTATCTAGAATTTTATCTCATGCACAGAACTGTGTTGGGCATGCAGTAGATACTCAATGATTATTTGTTGAAAGTATTAGAAGTGCTTCATGAGTATTCACTGGGTCCATAAATAAAATTAATTTCAGCTAAAAGTCTATATAGACTTCCCTCTCTCCTTTTCTCTCTCTCTCCCTGTGCCTTTCTTCCTCTTCCCTCTCCCTCTTCATCTCTGTCTTCCTCCTTCAGTGTTAGGAATTTAACCCAGGGCCTTGAGCTTGCTAGACAAGTGCTCTAGCACTGAGCTATATCCCCAGCCATTTATTTTGGGGGGTGGGGCAGAGCCTTGCTAAGTTACCTAGTGGGCCTCAAACTTGTGATACCCTGCCTCAGCCTCCAGAGTAGCTGGGATTACAGGTGTGTGCCACATGCAGCGAGTGACCTACACCATCTGGGTCTGGGTAAGCAAACTCTACAGTATTCACACAATGATGAAATAAGTGCCCAATGGCAAGTTTCTCACAACATGTCCCTGTCTTCACAGGACTACTGCTATATTAGATTTTTCTTTTAATAGGGTTAAAGTTGCCTTTCATGTAATTGATGAATAAATCTATAAGTACATTTTATCTTGTAAAATAAGCAAGTCCAAAGGAGTTGTAAGTGAAACAGTCATTAGGTTGAACCTGACAATATGAAAATCATAGGGCAGAATTAGTGCAAGGTGTACACAGCTATCACCTTTTCCTTGTATTCCATCACATAGCACTTCTAAGACATAAAGGAGTCTTAAGAGAAAGTTGGTTATAACTGAGATTTAGTTAAGGTCACTGGGGTTCGGGACTTGCTTATTTTATAAGATAAAATGTACTTATACATTTATTGGATGCCACCAGTAATTGCAAACTTCTAAGTGAAATCCCTCCATCTGCTTTGTTAACGTTTTGCCCCTCCCAGCATTAGGAGGGCAAAGAGCAGTTTTTCTGGTGAGCATCTGAAGCGCAGATAAGTTGCTTTGTTCCTGCCTCCGTGCAACAGTTGGCAGATTTGGAGAAAGGAGAAAGGACACACGGCAGGTTTGAGGGGAGCTGGGGTCCACTTAGTTTCCTCTTTCTCTGGGCTTCACACCTGTGCCCAGGTGGACTCTCATGAAAACCAGATCTCAGCCTCTCCTTTGTTATCATGCCATTGCTATTTTTTTTTTTTTGACACAGAGCTTTACATTTTCCTCTTGAAAAACAAATCTATTCAAGCATGCAATGATCATATCCCATTATTACTGGTCCATGATCACAGATGACTTTTTTTTTTCCATCAAAAGACTTTTCTTTGATCACGATTTTACTGAATTTCCCTCACCACTTCCCTAAGTAGTTTTGCTGCTGGATTTTCATGCCAGTATGAGTTCTGCACTGAAATAAAATTCAGCATTGATGCAAACCCATCTATGGCTTCAATTAGTGGGCAGACTCTACCTGCAATATGAAGTGCTCTTAGGACCATAAAACAAAACTCACCTTTGCCAGCGATGGAGACCAGGGTGCTGGTGAGGGCCAGACTTGCATTGTCACCCAGAGTGAAGTTTACACAGTACATCCCAGAGCCTTTGAAGGCTCTTCTCACGGTCACCAGGCATGTGTCGTCCATATCCACACTGTTGCAGACCATGTCCTGGGCAAGCTGGCAGGTGGGGTCCGAGATGATGGTACAGACCTCTGTGGGGATGCTGTGACGTGGGAGGGGCGGGAGGGTGCACCCAGATCGCACAGAGGCACAGAGGAACACAATGTCAGTTTTTAAAAAAGAAAAATCATCACGTCTATAAAATTGGGCTTTGCCTATTCTTATTCAAATCAGATGATATTACATTGTAACGTATGATTTATTCTTAAATAAGCCAGGGGATAGGGTGCTGTTTCCTCTGCATCCTCAGGAAGGTGAGGTCAGGGGATGGAGGAGGAGGAGGAGGAGATGGTATCTCCCGAGGCAAAGGGCTGGCAGAAACTGTGAAACCCAAGTCATTTCCTCTGTGTGCTGGGCCCTTCAGAATGTCCAGAGATGCAGGTGCTTAAGTGTTGGGTGAAGATGTCCTTTGCTGTCAGAGTTGGCCCTGCCTGGGTTCCCGCAGAGAGATGGTGTCAGCAGCAGCACAGCTGGCCCCAGTTTAGACACAGGATGTGCTCTCATGAACAAAGTAATATTATCCTAGTGTGACTGGTGACAGCCCAGCTCAGGGACAGGAAAAACTAGGCCAAGGTCACACAAACAGCGCTTTCTGCTCCTCAGCCCTAAGCCAGGGAGCTTCTTAGTCGTTCCCTTTTATCAAATAAGGCTCATTTTTACATCATCCCAGTCTCTTGATTACTTGATCTATTTAAGCACACATATATTTTATTAGTTAAGGTATACGCATGTCAGTTAGTTGATTTGTTATTATAGAATTAATTGATGTAATATTTATTAAATTATTTATATTTGGTTCATTGTACACAGTCCTGACCAAATCAAGGGAAACCACATTATGGTAGAAAAAGCACTGTGAATTAGAGAGAGGATTATCATGCAATAATTCCACATTGGCTTTCTGCCCTCCAGAGTCTCAGGGAGCACAAGAGCCAGCTCTGAGTCAGACCTCTGACCTATAAGCTGGGCTCTCTGCTAGATACCAGCATCTCTTTGTATGATTACTGTGGGCCTCACTTGCCTCATCTGTGAAATGGGGAGACTCAGGACTGTTGTAAGGCTTCAGCGTGAGATGTAAGGTGCCAAGAACACAATAAGTGTTCAACTGTTGATCATAATTACTCTTCAAGCTAATCAATAGTTAAAGGTAACGAGCAATCTCAGCTCTAATAAAATACATGTGTACTCCATAGTGGCTTTCTATAGCCCTTTGTAAGTCTGTTTTCATCTGGGGCTTCTGATAATTTAAACCAGCACAGAAGGGACACCTGATGATCAAGACCTTTGTTCAAACCTAGGGTCCTCATTTGACCCAACTCTCTGAGGGGGACAATGTACTCACGTCCCCTCGCAGGTCACAGTGAAGTCCATCAGGGAGTTGTCAGGCTGTAGCTCAGGGCTTAGGACATCTGCTATCTGGATGATGTTAATCTCTAGGATTCCCTCTAACAAAATATTCACCATAGAAAATGTCAAAACATAACAGAAACAAAACCAGACCACTCTTCTGTACACTGAATATTGTGTCCTCTCAATTTTGCATGCTAAAATGCTAACCAAGGTGATGGTATTAGGAGGCGGGCCTTTGGCAGATGATAGGATTAATGTCCTTATAGAGACCCCAGAGAGCTCCCTTGTGCCTTCTGCCATGTGAGGACACAGCGAGAAGATGGCCATCCATGAACCCAGAAGCAGGGCCTCAACAGACCCCAAATCTGCTGGTGCCTCCATCTTAGGCCTCCAGGCTGTACAACCACAAGAAATGAATTCCAGCAGTTTCTAAGTCACCCATGTATGGTATTCTACTATGGAAGTCTGAATGGACATAGGCGCCCTTCTTAAGGAGTCCGCACCCCATCCCCCAAACGAAGACAGCCTTGTTGCCAAACAGAAACACAGCTCATCTGGGAACCAATTTAATTTTTTGAGAACGCATGTCCAGATCTCATTTTCTTTCTTTTTTCTTTCTTTCTTTTTTTTTTTTTTTTTTTTTTTTTTTTTTGG